GTTTATATATTTTTTCATTATAATATAATTAATATCGGATGATTCTCTGGGTTTTCCCATATTTTATCACAATTTTTCACATATCCTGGGAAAACTCTTGGAAAAATCGAAAACTTATATCCAAGCAATATTTAGGGTAGAAAAATTCGTAAAACAAATCGAAGAGTATTTTGCAAATAAAATACTACAACGGAGCGATTGCGTGGGTCTATAGGTATATCCAAAATGCATTTTCCGTGTATAGAAAAAAAAAAACAATAGTTTGAACTCGGATCAACTATGATAATTAAAGGCATATAAAACCATTCGATAACGACTTAAATGCTTTAAGAAATACAAGAAGTATAATAAAGAGATATTTAATATAACATATAAAATCCGCATAATACCAAAACATCATATAGAAATAATTTCCAAAATTAGTCTATCCTCTCAAATCTGACTTCACCATCATTATCATAACAGCAATATAAATATGTTCAAAAAGAAAAGAATTTAAAAATTAGAGTTGTTCCGCATAGTCGTTTACTCAACGATTTAAAGAATCGTGGAGGGACCCTTTATTGCCATTTATTATTTATAACATTTAATTTTATAATACATTTTAATTCTTATTTTTTATATGTATTAGTTTTATGTCATTTCATACTTTAATAAAACATGACTTAATGAGATCTAAATTCGTGGAATACGCCTTTCTAACACTTGAAATAAATTCCAAATTAAGCACAAACGTATTATATAAACATTACAATAACAACTATAAAATATTTAAAAAAAACTTACTTGGTCGTTGCCCAACCGTTTCTGATGCTAGAATTATGAATAAAAAATAATTTTCAATAAAAAATAGCCTTATATATTTCGTATTATAAATAATAATTGAACTATTTAATTAAAAAGGAAAAAAAGAAAACAATTGAGCAGTTCTATTATAATATTATTTAAAAAAATATAATTCGGAATGAAAATAGAATACGAGATACTGCATCGTAGTACGATAAACTGGAATTTATAATGATAAGAAAATAAATATACAATACAATTTGTAACCGCAAGACAATTTGGAAAACTAATGACATAACTTACATTGTGATCTTTGAGATGCTGGTATTTGAGTAAAAGAAGAAAGAAAATCAATAATAAGTTTCATTAGAATTTTGTATTGTATATTTCAACTCTAATCGTAGCATATAATAGAGAAAACGTTCATTATTGTATTAAAAATATCTGAATATTATTTCATGTCACATATCTTGTATGTAATGTTTGATGTGAGCTATGTTATTGTTGGTGCCAAAACTAATTTTATTAAGACGGTGATTGTTTTATACAAAGTGGCCAATAGTCAGTTTTCATCAGGAGGTAGAGGTGTGGTTCTAACACCAAGGAAAACAAAGACATCAACTGAGCTGTTCCGCGCAGACTTATATAATAATAAGTCAGTATTGTACATAGTATATATCTTTAAATATTCATTAATTTGAACAAATTATAGATAAATAATAGAATTCAGAATGCATAATAGTTTTACTATTCTCAATCGCCTTAAGATAAATTTGAACTTCATCCGGTAGTTAAGTAATTATTTAATACGGTTTGGTAATCCCTATACAATTTTATATATTAAATACATAACTTACATTGCGGTCTTTGAGATGCTGGTGTTTGGGTAAAAATAAAAACAATATCAATTATAAGTAACATTGCAGTTTAGTATAATATAGTTCAATTCTGATCATAGCATATAATACAGAATACGTGCATTATAATATTATTATTATATAAATATTATTTTGTCGCCAATGAACTATCTCTCAGGTGATCCAATTGATTGAGTACAATTATTTATCGAAAATTTCTATATTTTTCGGTATTTGTTATCACGTATATTAATAATATGGAATAGGTATCGTTACACTCTTGTATTATATAATTTAACTCTAACCGTACCATATAAAACAGAAGACGAAAAATTATATATCTATATTATCGAATTATTAAATTATGAATAAAACCTATATTTGAATATCGAACGTAGGTAGTAATTATACTTCCAGACAAAAAAAAAAACCTAAAAACAAATGTGTAGAGAATCTTGTTTTCTAAATGTTCTAGAAAACTTATACCGAAAAGTGTTAATACATTCTAAAATAATATTGTACATAAAACTAAAAAAGAAAAAACTAATACAGGCTTAACGCGTGAATCTGAATTATGACAATATCCCAGAAATATTGTTTTTATTATTTTAGTATGGGTTACAATTTTTCATCAGGTCAGAAATGATTGAAAGCGTCATACGATTTCAAATAGGCCACTAACTTATTATGTGGGCTCTCCAATAACGAATATAATATTATATAAAATATTTAAAATTTTATTTCTGTTCATATTACTTACGTTGTCCAAATTCTGTCGTTAGAGTAAGAAAGAACAAAATAATATTAATAACGAGTAACATTATAATTTTTGATTGCATAATGTAACTCTATTTATAGTACAAAATAACAAAAAATGTTTTTTATTCGTTCTAAGTATTTGAATTTCTCTTTGGCCGGCCTATCTACTATAGGATACAAAATTCATTGTGAGTTTTCCTGTTTTCGGTGTTAAACTAATTTTATTTTTGTAAAGATTATTTTATACAATTATTGCATGATGCTGATTCGAAGTTCAGGTTATATATAACTGAGTTCAGAATTTTTAAATACAATTTGTGTACATTTGTAAATAAGTGTTTTTTTTTTTTTTTTTTTTTTTTTTATGAATTTATTCAAACACTTATTAAATTTATATTAAACAAGCTAAGGTGAATGTGATTGTACTTGATAAATCTAAACTCGTTCAAAAATGATCGTAGATGGCTTTTATTTATTTCCGTTTTATAATTAAAACGTTATTTTGGCACGAAATCTAAAATAACCTGACCTTAACAGTTACGAAGTATCGAAAAACAACATAAACTATGGCCTGTATTCGGCGGAATTTCGTAGGGAACGGGGTAACGGAAGATTTTCGGCTGAAACTGTTGTTCCGTGGTATCGGGGCAGAGTGAAGTAAGGCCAACCTTGCGCCTGTGATCGATGGCGTTAAATCGTGTGCTACCGATTACATGTTCGGTATCCAACAGCCGGCTTGTCATTATTGTTTGCATTCTTCTACGATTAATTATTAAACTATGTTCTCTATAAAATATGACCGGTAATATTAAAAACAACATTCATTAAACAAATTATTTTATTTTATTTATTATTAAAAATATATTTAAAATAATGCAAACGATACCTCTTAAAACTAGATCTAGATTATACGAAAAATAAAAAAAAATACCATATGTATTAATAATGTTTATATATATAAGAAAAAATTCATAATGATATAATACCTTTCCAAATCAAGTTGCATATTCAAAGTGTATTAAAATTTGTTAAAAAAAAAAAAAAAATGCAAAATTCATATCTCTCGTATGATTGTGTAGGTAACAGACACCGATTTAGTAAAAAAAAAAAATTGTTTTAAGGACGTGAATAGAATTGTTTAGAAATTATTTATTTCATTATACTCTGAAATCCGAAACCCATTAAGTGTGTCAATCCGTCTCTAACCTAGAGATTTAAGTAGAAAACCAATAATCATTAAATCTTCTTTTCCATTTTGTTATATTTATTATACATTTAAAACTTGCCTATTAATGCCAACTAGAGATCAAATATAATAGAGGAATAGCTACCTCATTGTTATCGTATAATCTTGTACGGTAATAACAGGGTAACTATTTTATATCTTATTAAATTATCTTTCTTTTGAGGACTTTATTAAATATAAATAATAATAAACTTACTTCCTGTCTCATCTTCCTCATATACACCTATACAAAATAATTAAAGGATTACAGTGGCTTCCGCGTAATGTGATTACCGGTTTATTGGAGCAGCTATCTAATATATGCATATTAATCTAATCTCGATTTTTTTGTATACTATACTTATTTCAATTAACATGAACAACTGCCTTCTACGCGCAAATATAACTAGTCCAATAGTACCAATATTTAGTCGAATCCACTATTTTAATAATCCGTAACATTATAATTCAAATAATTTACTGTATATGCATATACGTATTACATAAACCGCTCATTATTGTATTTTGCACAATATATCTGCATAATATTTCGTTTCAAAAGATTAGTCTAGACGACTGAACTATAAGATATTCGATATATTTATTGTGTTTGACAATAGTAACGAGTACGACAAGTAACGACAACAAGGAGAAGTTGATTAATATCATTATTGTGATAGAAATGATTTTTTTTTATTCATTTTAGAAAGATATTATTATTTATATATTATTGGATAATATATATTATCACGATGACTGACAAACATGTGGCTCAACAAAGACAAACATGGTAATCCAAAAACGGACACTCCGAAAATTTTACTCGTAATGCTCCAAGCGGAAAAATTGTATTTCAGTGTTCTCACATGTACCGAAAATTATTAATGTTGTCAAAAGAAATAACGACAGTCTTTTTTATAAAAGAAAATTTCATTTAGGAGACACGTAAGAGAGGTCGTTTATTGATTTTCTCTGGAGTCTTCTCAACAAATGGCAAAAACTTTGAGAAATCATAGGAAAACCAAAAACATAGGTACAACATTAAAAAAATGTTATTAAAGAAAATATTTAGAACCTACTTAATTATTTCACCTCAATATTGCATATAAATTGTTGACAAATTGTCACTATCAATTGAACTCGACTCAAAATATTTTATTGTACTGATATACATTATATTACTTATAACGGGGGCTGCACCCGTCCCCATTATCTTAATACGTCTTATTAAAAATACTAATATAATATATGCCCATAACTGAACAATTTAAGGACTAATATAGTTAGGTTAGGTTAGGTTATGTTAAAAGCAAGACGATTAAAATACATACGGAGTCCAGTTGCCCCACTAAATATTATGGTTGTCGATCATACAATTAAAATAGACGTCCTAAAGTTACCTTATGTGACTACAAGAACTGATTAATTAATAACCGTACATTTTAATAAACTGATGAATATCACGTATATATTTAACAAATATCGGTGAAACAAGATAGCAATACGAGCTTTGGTGGCTACATTATTATTATTAATCGGAATTAAGTTAATAAAATATTAAAAATTGTTGTTTTGTTGTATTGTCAAATTAATCATTATGTAAATACCTACCTCCTACGTATTTGTAACATTAATTTTATCATATTTGTACTCCTTTAGGTTATTATTATTTTAAGTAATGGATATGTATTCCAATGTATACAATTCATATTTTTATACAGAATCGACTGGGAACTAAGAAAAAAACAAACAAATATTGTTTTGGGCTAGTTATTATGTTTTTATTAAGAAGTGTTTTTTTTTTTTTTGTACATAAGAAAGAAATATATTAATTATTCCAAATTTAAAATTAAAACTATGAAAATTATATTAGAGATAATATATTTATAGGAGAGTGTGTGATAGAATAAAATAATCTTGATATTTTTGTTTAAAAAATGTCTAATATAATTGTTTACACTTATGTTATATTATATATAATTATGTTGAAGAATCCGTGATCTGATTTTAGCGAGAACGGCGTTCGATAAGTATCTATTAATATTGTCATTTACAACAGTTTATCAAAATGTACGGGTAATAACGCTTTAGTCCTAGTGGCAACACGGGATAACTTACCACGCCCATTTTAATTTTGTCTCGAAAAAATAGTAAAATATGTATGATAACGGTTATCGTTCGAACTGGGCACATCATGTATTATGACCGCATTGGATACGCGTATTGTATGCAATAAAAGAATGGACTCCTCATTGTAATTTATCTTACCTTAATTCCAATCTTAAATAAACGCTAATAACAGCGTATCGTCTTTCTATCTTATTATAAAAGCTTTTTTATGAGGGCTATAATTATGTAATTGCATATAATTTATAACAATCTATTATATTACGAAATCCTTAATTATTCTATTGTACATATTGCATTCACACTAAGGGTTACCACTATATATTTTAGTCGGATGACCTTGTAATGAAATGGGGTTTCGGAGAATAGTAAAATGTAATGAAATACACATTTTTAGATTAATTCCAAATTATTAACCCTTTCAGTACGCAATACATCTTACTATCTTATAAAATGTTCAAAGTTACCACCTTGATGTACCGAACATGATTCAACACGATTTAAAAATCCTCTGAATGTGGCAACGTATATTTGTACTTCTCTCAAATTATTACATGCCATTCGTAATTTGTCTTTTAAATCTTGGACATGTTTAGGTGGATTTGCGTATACAAAAGATTTTAAATATCCTCATAAAAAAAATCTAAAGACGATAAATCTAGAGATCTTGCCGGCCATGGATTTACTCCCTGGGTACCAGGTTATCGGTTAGGAATAATTTTATTTGAATATTGCAGAGCAATGATAGTGTCATGTGCTTGTGCACCATCTTGTTAAAAATACATTTTTCCTGCGTGCGTAATGGAAAATTCTTTAACAGTAACGGAAATTGATTAATAAGAAAATCTAGATACCGATAAAAACCTGTAAGTGATCCTCCATAAAAATAATAGAACCTAGAAGTTGTCCACTAATTGATTCCCATTACAAAGTGTCTGAAAGTTTTTTTCTCAAGACCAATCTGGATTTGTATTGTTCGAAAATCTATGGTTTTGTTTATTCACTATACCATTGTTTTTAGATTTAGACTCATCGGTACACAAAAACCGATTATGAAATAAATTGTCGATTTCAATTTATTATTCGCTTATCGATATTATTATATAATGATTTTTATTTGAATATCAATTATCCACATTAGTTATTAATTATTTCAATTTCAATTTCAATATCGCTATTAGTTTCAATTGATTTTTATAACAATCTAGTTAATAGTATAATGGGTTTATCTAGGTACATGAAGTAGAAAATTATAACAACATTAAAATAGCGTAGTTATAAAATCAATATTATTATGCTGGGTTGCATCTAGAATGAAGCCGCTCTTTAAACTATTATTTCAATATTCCAATTGTTCCAGAGTTAAAAAATTAAAATAACAATAAAAATTTTCGATTTTTATTTAAATATAATTTATATTTCACTAATGGATATACGTATTTTACTAATTTCAATAAAAATTTCGATTATTAAAATTCAATAAACGAAATAAAACAAATAAGACGTTTTGGTAATAAAAATTGAATTTTATAATTTCAAATTATACATGATAGAAATAAAAAATAACTACTTATTTTTAAGAATGAATTTATTATTAATGTTTAACTAAAATGTTTGATTTGAAACAACAGTAGGTTTTTCGCCTTAATTATTTAAATAGGGTTTTAACATTTGAGAATATCCACAACATTAATTTTGCATTCATTTCATCATTGTCAATGTAGTCGTCAAAATGATTGATTCAACCATTCGATTACGACTTAAATTAATTTTATAATTATGTTATTTTTTGTAACATTTATTTATAGGAGTAAAACTACTATATACTAA